GAGTAGAATTCGGGGACTGGGAGCCGGTGTGTAGACGTTCGCCGGTGTTGGGAATGAGGCTGTGAGTCTGCGAGGTAAACTGTTGTCCCGTGGCTCTCGTGGTAATCACATTTTGGTTTTGGGTGTTTGGATTGGAGTGATTTGTTGCGCGCACAGTGGGGTGTTCCTAACTCAAAAGGGATCTGTTCACTTTCTCTTTAACATTCTTATTGCTAGCAGATATTAAAGAGGATTCTGAGCAGAATTCTGCCTGTGATATTAAGAGCCTGTGCCTACCGTGGGGGGGCTTCCCATATTCTGTTGTGACTACTTGATTGTGTGTGTTCTCAGCTCACAGCTTGCGTGTTTTAAGAGTATGTTGGTTTGTGAGGAGTTGTGGTTGTCGTTAGGACAGGGATAGGCGAGGCTATGGTGATTTGCAGTTAGTGAACTTGCTGCCCATCCGCCATGACCACTGTCAATTGACCCACTGTGATCAGAGTGACGAGGTTTAGCAGAGACAACCTCCGGACTTGATTACTGGTATCCTCCTAGTTGGTATCCAACGTTGTGGCAAGCCGTTTGATCTGTTCTGGGTTTGCCAGATGATTGCTGCTGGTAGAATCACAGCACGTCGGACATATGTGTCACCTGATCAGTTACGTCAAGAGGTGTCTATGGTATTACTTGCGTGGACATATGGATAGAACTATTTGCGATGTAAGGGGTTGTTTACGCTGGTAGATTTCCCCTGCCGTTTGTCTCTGTGCGTGCCCCAGATCCTATCTTAGGTCGTCACATTTTGTTTTTTGGTTTTTTTTTGTTTTTTTGGTGGTTGCTGGGTTGTGGTTTTCTCAGTAGTGTTCCGTGAATCCCAGGGATAGGAGCGAGTGCGTAGTATTTTATTCTTTGAAAGTGATATGGTAAATTGTGGAAAATGTTTGAATGCAATTTCTGAGATTCGTTTCTATGGCAATTATTATTATTATTTTTTACTCTAATGTAAGAGTCTGTAAGTCTTGGAGTTAGATTTTGAGTATGTTTATTTCTGTTGGAAATGTACTTTCATTCTTACGTGTGTTTGCAAGGAGTTAGTTGAGAGCAGTTCGATTTGGTTTTTGCATATCACTGCTCATTGTGGCAATATTGATAGTAGAAATATAATTTTGGTATTTTTTTTTGTTTTGTTTTTTAATAGCTTTAGACTGGTGTGTTCTGGATTTGGCCAGTTAAATCATTGCCGCAGTTGTTTTTTTTTTTTGAGCTCTGTATAATCATCAAGGCAACCACACTATTTTGAATGAGGCTCCCAGTAGTTTATGTATGTGAATGCGGCCTCAGATCTAGGAGGTATTGAAGTCTTATTGTTCACTATACAGTTGGCTGCAGGGGCTGTGATAACCGCCTTGCCATCTCCAATCTCTGGCTGGTTGGTCTTTGCCTTGCCTTTGCCCATGTCGAGGCTCTCTGCCTGAGAATATGTGTTCTACAGCCCGTTTCCGGCCCTTCCTTAATTTGGCTCAGTTTCACCATTGGCTGCAACGATAGGCTTGGTGTTACTACTCCGCATTCCTATTTTTAGACTTTGCTACACTTGCTCCTCTGGGCATCCCTCAGGTTGCACCTGGGTCCGTTGACGTGCGTAGAGAGATGTCTTGGGTCTGGTTTCTCATTTTGTGTTATTTTACCACCTTTCTAAGACTATACCATTTTTGTAGTTTTGTTAGTTAACATTAGTGCATTAATATTTTATTGTCTGTTTTCCTATAACTAGGATGTAATCTCTATGATGGTAAGATTATCTGAGTTTTTTTTTGTTTTTCACGATACATCCAAATACTTACAAGTGCTGTGCATGCTAAAGGCATTCAATAGATATTTGCTGAATGAACGAATGAGTGAATGAGGAAGAACTGTCATTTTATATCCACAATAATTACAGGTACTAACTTGTAGGTAGCGGACTATGTTTTCTACTGTTTAGCATCTAACAGAGCTGAACAAGAGTGCAGAGAAGATGTAAATTTTCTGATACGATACAATATATCATTTCTATCTTACACCTTCACTTCCTCTCAGGCACTCCTGGATTTGTGTAAGCCATTTCATTTGTTTTCAGGAAGTTGACTAAAGGCTTTCCTTTTCAACTTAGAGATGAAACCAGAGCTAGAGGGATGGCCATCCGAAACCATGAACAGAATTCCAGTTTCTCACATGGCTTCTTAACTAGACTGTGTCAAAGAAAGAGTAGCTTCTGCTGGTGTGGAACTGTACCAGTTGTCAACGTGGATCCTTTCCCTCCTCCCTTCCTCCTTGTCTTGGTCTGGGCCTTACACTGTCAGCTTGATTTAATGCCTGTGGCTGCTTTGAAGCCTTGGTCAGTGGAAGCCATTTCACACGCAGGGGCGCGGCGCTTACCTGCACATTCCTGTTCAGGCTGACTGCGGGAAGAACATGCCCTCCACATTCTCAAATGCTATGGGGCCTTGCTTGTTCATCGTTGACAAAAAATGTCAAGGTTTTCCTATTAAGTCGAGGAGGACCCCAACGGTGGCCCTTTTGTGATTCCTCCTTCAGTTCTGTGGGAAAAGAAAAAATTGGGTTTCACTGGCTGTTGTCCGTTCTAGAAGCTCCTTTTTCTGTATGGTTAAACCAGCGTTTTGCAAACCTGTTTATAATTATTGCCCCTCCAACCTTTTTAAACATTTTTTCCTTTCAACCCCTTTCAGATAAATTGTAATGCCACAGATATACTGTATACCGGTTATGTAACTGTTTGTATTCTGCGCTATATATATATATATATATATATATATAGAGAGAGAGAGAGAGAGAGAGAGAGAGAGAGAGAGAGAAAGATTTTTTGCTTCCCCGCTCCCAATTTTCACTCCCTTGGAGGAGATATCGGCCCCTGTTGAGGATGCACAGGTTGCTCTGCTGTTGCTGAGAGTGAACTCATTTGTACAGGGTCTCTACCACTGAGCCACAGTGGGAAACTAAACACTAAAGACTAGGGGGAAAAATAGCCTCTGGGCTATCAGAGTTCTGACTGTGTGCAAATGTTGCACACTGTGCACACATGGTGTGAATTAAACATCATTAAATAACAGAATGACTTAATCTGAAAGTCAAAATAAAGAAGCACTTAGATTGAACCTAAAACATATGCATGAGAAATTAGAGTTTGGGCCTTATGTTACCCATTAAATAGAAAAACTCATTCCAGAAAGATGGTTATTTTTTGGCATGCTGCATTGGAATTAAGATGTTAGAGTCTCTCTTTAAAATGACATCAAAGAAGAGGATTCTTCCCTGTAAAGTGAAATAATTATACTATAGGAAATGTGGTGATTTTAAGGATACTGCATGTAAATGTCATTTTACAAAGAACTGTGTCTTATGCTTCAATTGATGATTTTGCAAAACGCCATTAAAACATGGATAATCAGATTTGTCTTTCCTCCCTTTTTGAGATCTAGCAATATTGAATTCATCCTCATCTCAGCAGAGCACAGACAGTGTCATTCGTTTCCTCTCGCATGCAGGATACAGACTGTATACAGCCATTAAAAGACAGGTTTACGAATTGCATCTTGTTAATTCACAGGTTTAACAATGAAAGCACAAGTGACATGCAGTGGCATGCAAGCAGATGTGTTCGGCTTTAAAAATGTGTTTCACTGCATAGCGTGATGGTTATGTTATTATTCACTCCTTCACTCCAAAATAAAGACGCTAAAAGGGAAAAGGTGAGTGTGGTGTGTGGGTGATGGCATCAGGAATCTAGTGACAGAAAGTTCCGCAAGATGTCAATCACTGAAGATAAGTGCTTATGTACATCCCATAGGATTTGATATCAAGTTGAAATGGCGTGTGTGTTCACTTCAAGTGATAGCGAAAAATACACACCTGAATGGAGAATAGATAGAAAATATCGAAGAGAACAGGAGGCCCTCAGAGGCTAGAGAGGGTCGGTGATGAGCATACAGAAACAGCTTAAATGATGGAGTCCTGGCTTGTTTTCCCTTTCAGTTGATTGAACACAACTTCATTTTTTTTAATAGACACCAATGAATGTGTATTTTGGGGAAATTTGAGAATAAGGTGGACCAGGATCCATGATAGGCACTTCTCTGTGTGCAAATTTGTGCAAAATATACTTGAAGATGAGAACACAACCAAATGAAAAAGGAAATATGGGGAAAAATTACAGTATGAGTTAAATTCTAATTGTCTATATTTTGGTGGTAGAGGAAACCCTTAAGGAAATTACAATAGTCTCTTTCCTTGGCAAATGGGATGCTTTCAATTCATACAATAATAAGAGTGTTCTTTAAGTGTGAAACTATCCAAGTTGGTATCCATAGATTTAATGAATCATAAGAAGAATAATGGCTTCTCTATTTTCAGGTGCCTTCAATGTGAGGCATTTAATCTTCAGAACACACTTGTATTGAAAAATATTATTACACTGGAAAGATTTGGAATCTGAGGTTCAGAAAAATGAAGTAATATGTCCAAAAGCACTGTTCTGGAAAGTTGTAGGTGTGGGTTTTAGAATCCTGGATTGCTTTCCTATAATGGATATGCATGAGGACTCTCAGTTTCCAGCCATGGGCAGGAAGGGCCTAGGAAAGTGCTCACATCTCTATCTTTATGCAAAAAATAAACCAGGACAGACTCACCTAAGTAATAGAGCACCTGTGCTACTTGCTCAAGGCCACCTGCCTGACTTCCTTAATGTTGTCTATGTATTAATAATAGGTCTCTGAACTGGGCTGTCACTGCTGACCAGAAGCCAACATGAAGAAGGCTTGGTTAGGGGGCTGCAGGGTACCTGTTGGTGTGCGAGTTGTTGTGCATGAACCAGCTCCGGTTATTGTCCACATACATTGCCCAAGCTTTGTCGTCCTTTCCTAACATCATATCCTTCATGACGTCGATGCGAGCCACGCCAAAGGCAGGATCCGGGTGGTTGTCATAGCGGTCTACCGTTAACTCCCAGTAGTGGACGCCCTTGGAGAAGCCAGTCTTCCCCAGCACCACCCGGTCATCATAGCTACTGCAGGTCACTGTCAGGTTGTCATTGGAGAAGATGATGTCTGAGTGCGCTGAGCCAGGGTCGAAAGCAAACCAAGCCACTGGGAACAACAGAAGGGAATCGGGTTATTAAGACAGACCACGGCAGCATGGCGTCGTTGCGCACTCCTGGGCAGGTAAGGAGCGTTGTGTAGCGTTTTCATGCTGCCATGCAGGAAGGAGGCGTCCAGGGCCATAGCAGACAAGCGCACGTCCTGGGAGTTGGTACTCTCTGCACCAGAAGCAGACGGAGGACACACGACCGGTTCAGCAGGGGTTACCTGGCTCAGACTGCACTCCCCACCAGGTGATCCGGGAGTGAAGTGGCATCGATTTTGGAAGGTGCAAATCCCTTCACCTGGTGACTGGCAGAACAGTGCACCACAGACATAAAGGGAGAGGGGACGCGCTAAGATGCCCCCTGTGTAACCCCTGAGGCGGGGAGGCTAGGAGCTAGAGTCCTAGATGGAGGAGGGATAAAACACATGGAGTGAAATCAGGAAATAGCCCTTTGGCGGAAGTGCTAACATCTAGTCGCTTTGAAAACTTCCTCAGCTCTAGTGAAAGCTCACAGGCTGCGAAGCTATAAGCAACATAAACTAATTTTTATGAGTGTGACTTGGATGTAGGACAGGTTGCTTCCTCATAACTTAAAAACACAGTTTGCGTGCTACTCCTAAAACTAACATGTAAGATATTTTGCTGAAGCAGTAGATACTTTGGACATTAGGTGCAGATAGACCCATGTCTTTGCACACATTGTTATGTCCCAAGTTCTAAATGCCACCTGCAAATAATACGCTTGAGAGATGTAACTGCTGATGTATTGAACCTGTGAGCCACCTCACATGCACTGTGGTCTTTGCTATTTGTAACAGAATAAGGTTGTTCCATACCTGCCAACAGCTTTTTAATGTCAACTGTTGTCATTCCAAGTGAAAGGCATAGGGGAGAGAGACAGGAAGCAGAATTGACATGGATAAGAAAACATGTCTCTTGTGATAAACCAGTACTCAAAAGGGCTTCATTTAAAATGCCACATACACTACGACAGTTGGTCTGACTTCTACCTTTACCCACATTTAGCGCTTATAAAGAGTGCTTTGCATTGGCGTATAGGAAAACTGGGGGAAAAGTAAGCTTTGAGGTATACTTTAAAAAAATATAGACATTTCTATTTTTCTAAGAACTTGAGAAAGTGTTATAGTGGGGTTAGAATGACAATTAGACAGTTTTATTGACAGAAAATAAGCTGCTGCCATTTATTTTGTGAAGGAAATTGAGCATACCAATCACACAAAAGGTAACAATTACAACAAGTATACTTGCCTAATTGAGAGTAAGGTGCAGATTGTGTCTCAAAATTGCATCCTATAAAGAGATACTACACATCAAAGCTATGAAACAACAACCAGGTTGATAAAAATTATTTGTATACATTAAAAAGCACCAGCTGAACACAGTCACCAGAGGCCTGATTCATGAAAAAAGGAAGCCCTTTTTATTGTTAGTTTACTTTGCTGGGTAAGAATTGCTTCTGCTTTTTCAAAATGAAAAGCACGTCTTTTTACCATTTCATAAATCCTCCTCCAATGGATTCTAAAATCTTCAGCTTAAGTTTTCATCATCATTCCCAGTTCAATCTTTTCCCCTAACGTTGCCATATTAAGAAAGGTGACTTTTAAAAATGAGAAAAATTTACCCAATTGAAATGGAGAAATCACTGGATCTTGCTAAAACTCTGTGTCGCTGTTGTATGCACTTCTAACTCTGGTTATGCTGAAAGGTCTTTGCTGTGACTTGAGCCCAACATAAATAATACATATATAACTAAATGTATAATGCCATCATATGTTAATAAATACACCTGATAATTATTAAAAATGACAATCTGAATGTAGTAAAATCACCCCAGCTCTTAGATTGTTTTACTCTCTCAGTCCTTCCCACCTGAGGGGAAGGGTGTGGGCTCAGAGATAACTGGAATCACCTGTGGAACTTTTCCAACCGCCTCCCTTCCCCAAGGTCTGCGTCCCCCACCCCAGGAGAAGCCGCACGGGGTGGAGGAAGGAAGGCTGTCTAGTCTTAAAATGTCCAAAGCTGTGCGAACAATTTCCAGTGGTGTTGGGGACTGACTCATCTAGAAAATGTGGTTTTGACAAGCACTAAAAGATAAAGAAAAAAAATCACTTAATTTTGTTTTCAATTTAGTAAGGCCCTTATATGCTAATTTCTAAAACATATGAAGGATAATGGACTGACTCAAAAGAATTTTATAAGAATTTAAAAAAGCAACTTACTATAAAAAGGAACTGAGGTAAAAATCAAAATTTAAAGATTATGACCTTACTTTTGGTTAGTTTATTTACTAATTTGCTTTGAATTCACATGCAAAAGAATCATTTTCTCCCAACTCATGGCTGATTTTTATGTTTAATTTCTATCAGTTGTCAATTCGATTTCTATCCATGGGGTAAAGAACAGTGAATATAGAACACCCAGAGTTTTAAAATTGACTGTCACATCCAGCTTTAGAAATAAATTTGTAGAATCCCAATAGGGCTTTTAAAATTTTTAAATGAATCATGCCTCATGCAAATTCTTTTTCAAAACAAATATTCTGAAATCTTTTTACACTACTTTAAACACACTGTCATATATTTAAGATTCAATGATACAACTAGAACAATGCTATTAAATACACCCATCAAATATTCCAAAACCCACATTTCATTTTATTCTTGAGACAATATACATTACAAAGACTATAACAGTATTTCAGTACATTAGACACAGTGAAAAGAGTTTCATAACAAAGCATGTTGGAAAGCTAGTGCACAGAAAAACAATAAGAAACATAAAAGCACAAAGAAAAATGTCATTTTAAAGAGAGCTTGAAGTCCCTGCATCCTTTTTGCACTGTCATGCTGTGGCCTTCTTCATTCCAGGATATGGGATGAGCAAAAATAATAAAATAAAGAGCAAAAGAAACCTTTGGAAATGTGAAATGTGCATCATGTGTATCCATGATTACAATATAGTCCTGAAGAGATCAAATAGGTCTGCATCTTAGATATTTTAGGATTTTAATTTTCTAGACAGGGTTCACTGCAAAGTTAGCACAAGTTTAGCTTCCTTGAAGTCAGCTGTAAGCCCTGTCACAACAGGCTTGGCTTGGACAACTTCCAGGAGGCCAGACTTTCTAATTGCTTGGCTCTTTGGGCATTAGGAGTTAAGGTTTCTAATTCAGCTAGCAGCGGTCCCTCCCCTTTGCTAGAAAAACACTCAGCCATGAGCCCGACTGTCCTACCAGTGAGCACAGGCTCTTGCAGAAAATGCTTTTACTTTCTGCTCTCTGGTTTGCCTGCTTTGTAGAATAGGATACATTCTGCTGTTAGTATGTTTTCACTTTTATTTTTGTCAATAAAGATCTCTTGAGTCTATGTTTAATCAGACCACTCCAGGCTGGATGCACTGATCCAGTCTCCCAGACACAGCTGGTATCCTGGATACAGAAGGGTTGCAAACCTCCAAAGTACTGCCATGGCCTCCACTCAGCTAGTGCCTTTGCCGTGCTGTGCCACAGCATGTGATGACAGAGCAAATTATCCACGGTGGTACCAGCTTGTGCAAAAAGAACAGCTTCACTCATCACTTTCCAATGCCATTATACATAGACCACAGCTCCATGGTTGCTCCTTACACCACACAAACAGGAATGCCACAGAGCTCCATCATCCAAATGCTCCTCATACTGGAAGCAGGCCACAGACACAGAGACTAGCTCATCCCCTGTACCACGCACATGAACGGCAAGAACAAAACACGCATTTCAAAGCTGCCTTCAAGGCACAGAGATCAAAAGGAAAGGTCTGAGGAGCTCAGCTCACCCGGTGCATTGAGAGACTGCAAAGAGGAATGCAAGCTCAGCTGGTGGGGTGAGGATCGGAAATCAAAGTAGGATCTCCCCGGGAAGCTGGGTTGTAGATTAAGGGTGGAGGAGAAAGGACTCATTCTACGAAGCGGCAATCTTTCCGAAGGCACTGGAAAAGGGAGGGTCTGTTCTTCTGAATCTGTGTCTAAATGTAAGATCAATGCAAACTAGAGATCAGAAATCTGCTACCTGACAGTGCACGGTTCCCCAAGACCTGCCTTAACAATACATTCATACAAAGCCTCCTCTTCCACAGGAGGCCACATACAGGCATCTACACCACCGATGTGCCTGGGGGCTGGGAGGGAATTCTCCGCAGGTCAGGACCCAAGACCAGAGGATACTGCCAACATCACAGGCAATTGTTTTCATTTCCCCCCAATTTTTAGTGGTAGGAAAATTATTTTGAAAAGTTTCCTTTTAATTAAATGAAATATTTTTAGAGTTGAATTTAGTAACTTTAGAGGTCAATTTTACCCATGATGGCCAAGAAGAAATTAATATTTTACCCCTTTCAGCTATCCTGGATGTTACCACCTATTCAATAATGGCCTCTTACAGGGTTTCTATGCAGAGATGATGATTTTTACAAACTGTTCCTGATCCATTTCTAGGTGTATGATATGATTTTCTCTATGGGCACATTCAAGGCTTGATCTTTGAAAAGGAGAGGAAGCACGTGGTCCAGGCAAGACAGGGACAGATCCTCAGGAAGCCTTACATTTCTTTGTTTCTGAATTATGGTTAGACTCTAGGGACATCATTTGGCCATCTTCTAATAATAATTGGACACGGGCAGTGGTGAGGTGCATTGGTAACAAAGTGTCTTTGTTTCTTTTCAGATAGTCAGGTCTGCTATGAAGACCATTATTATATCAGAGTAAGGAATTATCAATCTTGTTTTAAAAAAGGGCTTGTGAATGAGTTTCCCTAAATTACTAAAATCACTCCTTTTTCTTTTGTCAAACAATAGTTGGCTCTATGCAGTGGTGTAGTCTGGTTGCAGATGGATCTTTCACCCATTGAAGCCTTTTAAAAACTCAGTTTAATAGTAATAATTTAGGAAACACAGATGACTGGAAGGTAATATTCCATGTTCAAAAACACCAAGGAAATTTCTTCTTGTTG